TATATATATATATATTGCTTATGGTTTGATTGTAGTGCAGGTATTAATATACTGGTTTGACTTGCAAGCAAAACTTGGGTTTGAAACATTAGAAAGCCAATGCCTTCGTTTTTGGTAGATTCTCGTGCTGCTATATATGGAGTTGAGTTGCAATTACAAATTTGCTTTATCGGTGTAATACGCACAAGGTGGGATTCACCTATTCGTGCGCCAATCTCCTTTTTTTTTCTTTTTTTTTTTTGGTGAAAAAAATTATACACAACTCTCATAGACATAAAGTAGTGTCGGAATTTACAAAATGCCGACAAGGCTTTCCAGTAACATGCGGGGACGACGTTAACTTCTTGGAGATTTATTGACATGTTAAAAAAAAATGGACATGATGCTGTCAGATTCAAGCTTCCAATCTTATACTTTTTATGATGTAGTAATATATTTCAATTGGTAGTCACAGTAACAAAAAACGTATATTAGTTAGTTAAGTATATAGGAAGCAGATTGAAAAGAAAGATTAATGGAGCATTAGCTTCTTTTTTTTTGGTGACACTTGTGAAATATTACCATACCAGCAAAATCAATTCAATACACCTAAAGAGCACTCATAGTCTAGCCCCCTTCTAGGAAAGTTGCAAGGACTAATGAGTCAAATATCTCTAGTTACACAAACTCTGTATAAGAAAAGCACTCTTCTGACTTCCTTTTGATCCTCTATACATGTCTAATATCTCCCTAATTACTGCATGTATTTGTTGTAACACAAAACAACTATGTACACTTTGCCCTCTAAAGATCCTATAATTTCTAGCTACCCATATTTGATATATCATTGCTCCATAAATTGCGGCCATGACTTCTTTCTTGAACCTGTTCCAGTGTTTGTGCTTTATCCTGATCAATGCTTCCTTTTATTTCATTGTGTTGTAGTTTAATCCCAATCCACTGTTGCACTATATCCCATGCCACTTCTGCCCAGTTACACTCATAAAACAAGTGTGTTGAGCTCTCCAGTTTGTCCTCCTCGCATAAGCCACAACTAGTATTATCACATACAAGACCAATCCTCTGCATCCTCTCTTTTGTGAGCAATCTATCTTGTGCAGCCAACCATAAAATGACCCTATGCTTCGGTAGTACTATCCTGCTCCATATCAACTCAGCAGCTTCCATCTTTGTTGCATCTCCCAGTAGCTCCAAATACCCTCTAGAAGCTGAGTAGTGTTTATTAGACGTTAGGCAGTATTTCCCTTCATTATACCAGCTTCCCATTCTAATTTTAATCTTATGCAATTTCCTCCAATACCAACTACTGTCATTGGATGGATTATGCATCCAGAAATCATGCTCACCATTCATATAGATCCCATTCGCCCATTTCAACCATAAGATGTCATTCTTCTCCATTATCAACCATATCAGTTTACCAACCATTGCTATATTCCATAACTTGCATCCTTTAATGTTTAGTCCACCCTGTTTCTTTGGACGACAGACTTTATCCCAGGCTACTAATAATATCTTCTTCTTTTCTGTTGTACTGCCCCATAGAAATTCCCTACACTTCCTATCCACTTCTGATAATACACTTTGAGGTAGAATGAAAACTGACCCCCAGAAATTGTGTAGTGAAAATAGCACTGAATTTATGATCTGTAGTCTGCATGCATATGACAAATGTCTAGTTGGGTTGGCCCTGATTTTGGTTGTGATCTTCATGCTCAGTTGGTAACATTCAAGTTTGTTCCACTTCCTTGATGTCAATGGAAAAGCCTGTAATACTCTGCAATCTTTCCTTAGTAGCTGCATCAACCCCTGCAATAAATAGGTTAGATTTATCTATGTTTGCCTCAAGTCCAGTAGTTTCTGAGAAGTGTTTCAAAGTCTCCATCACTCTCTTGATTGAAGTCTCATTCCCTTTACAAAAAATCATTAAGTCATCCGCAAATATAAGATGTGTCAATTTTTGCTTTTTGCACATTGGATGGAATCTGAAATTCGGCAAAGCACTCATTTTACCTAGGATCCTAGACAAATACTCCATTATCATCACAAACAGCAGGGGAGATATGGGGTCCCCTTGCCTCAACCCCCTTCTTCCTTCAAAATACCCATAATTTCCTCCATTCACTTTCAATGAGAACTTTGTAGTTGTAACACACACCATTATTAACTTTATGAACTTTTCTGGAAATCCATACCCTAGTATCATCTCCTCTATGAACTCCCATCTCACCATATCATATGCCTTCCTTAGGTCTATCTTCATGAGACATCTTGGAGATGTTTTCCTGTTGTAATGCCTGAGCAGGTCATGGCATATTAGAACATTATGCACTTCACCAGTGATGGCAGAACCCCCTTTAGCCTCTTACACAACATCTTTGATATACATTTATAGACCACATTGCAACAGGATATAGGTCTGAATTGACTTGCATTCTCTGGATTAGTGATCTTTGGTATTAATGTGATCACTGTTGCATTTAGTTCCTTAAGCAGTATCCCATTTCTGAAGAATTCTAGCACAGCTTCACTAATGTCTTCCCCAGTTATACCCCATGTGTCTCTAAAAAATCCACTACCATACCCATCTGGCCCTGGGCTCTTTATCTTATTTATGTTGAACATTGCTTCCTTGACATCCTTCCTTGTGTAGTTCTGAAGGAGTTCTAGTTGTTGTGTAACTGATAAAGTGTATCCATTCTTTAGGAATCCCTCATAAGCTCTCTTCCTCTGCCCTCCTGTTTCTCCAAGGAGTTTCTGGTAGAATCTACCAAAGATAGCCGCTATCTCTCCAGGTTCATGTTGTATCTGGTGATTTTCATCTTGTAATTGAGTAATAGCCTGCACAAGTTTCTTCTGTTTTAATATAGAGTGGAAATATTTCGTGTTATCATCTCCAAGTTTGATCCAAGTTGCTTTGCTTCTCTGAATCAGCATTGTTTCAGCCAAGTAGCTTGACCTTTTGAACCTCATGCATACTTCCTTTTCCAGCATTTGTAAGTCATCATCCATTGGTCTCTGTTGCAACATCATCTGTACTCTCTGTAGTTCAGCCCTATCCTTATCTACTTCCTGCATTATGTTCCTGAAATCTGTTGTATGCAGTCCTCTCAACTTTTGCTTTAGTGCTTTCAATTTACTCACCACCTGAAACGTTCTACATCCTTCAATTTGCCTTGCCCACTCTTCTTTTACTATTCCCTGAAATTGTGGATGTGAGCTCCACATGTTACAATACTTAAAACATTTTCCTGTTCTTTTGAGGCTTATTTACCAAGTTGTCATGAACTGGGTTGTGATCACTCACACCCTCTGGTAAGTATCTTGTCCTGCAATCCGGCATGCTGTCCATCCCTTCTCCATTAACAAAAACCCAATCAATTTTTGAATAAACTCGATTACTATCCTGCTTATCATTCCAGGTGTATCTGCAGCCATCATTTGGTAATTCATTGAGCCCACAATTATCAAAGGCATTCCTGAAAATCCACCACTTCTGATAGAGTGACAGTATTGCCTCCAATTCTATCCTCCCTATGTAGTACTGAGTTAAAATCTCCCAGCACTATCCATGGTGTAATACTTTCCTTTCTTAGCTGATTCAAATACTCCCATAATTCCTTTCTCTCTTCCTTAAGATTGTGAGTATAAACAAATGTGATAAGAAATCTGATATGCATTGTTTCATATTTCACTAAGCATGTGATAGCTTGTGAATTTTCACTACTTTTTGTAACTTCATACATATCTTCTCTCCAGATCATACATACCCTACCATTATAGTGTGAAAGATGATTTGTATGTATCTTCCACCCACCAAACATATTATCAGCTATTGCATCTATTCTGTTGCTTTTTATTTTAGTCTCCAAAAGACCAATTAATCCTACTTCCAGCTCATTGCAGAGGAGTTTGACCTCCCTCTGCTTATTGAGGCCATTAAGGCCTCTAACATTCCAGCTTAAGATGTTAATCATCCCCAATACGTATAGTAGAGGTGCCTCCCCCATTCCTTGTACCCTCTGAAGTCCTGCTATGTTCACCTTTTTCCCCTTCCAATCTTTGGAAAGTATTTGTTAGACTTATTACTTCTTTCCTCACAGCTTGAGATGTCACAGCTTTGTGAGGTTGAATCCACCCTACTTCATGTTGAGTCTTCCTCCATTTCCCCCCTCCGGCTCTGCCTCTTTTGTTGTTTGCTTATGTAAAACCCCTGCTACAAGGTATCTTTTTTCTTTACTCTTTGTTACATCAACTTGTGTAGTCTTCTCTGCCACAGTCTGTTCTATGCGAGCTTCTTTATTCTTCCTGCAGTTTTCACCTTTGCGACCATACTTGTTACATACCTCACATTTGGTTGGTTTCCACCCATAGGTAACAGTTTGTGTGATGACTGCTCCTTTTTCATTTCTAAACATTATTTCCTCCGGTAGCTCCTCTCCCATTTTCACTTCAACTAGTATTCTAGCAAAATTGAGTCCTGCTTTCCTTTCTGTATTCTTATCCACCATTAACGGCTTCCCCACTAGACTACCTAGCTTAATCAAACCTCTTGCACTCCAATATTTGAAATCCAGGCCAGGCAGCTTTATCCAGATAGGTACCGACGCCAGTTCCTCCCTAGAAAACTCCATATCCGGGTTCCAAGCTTTCACAATCAGTGGCTTGTTATCAAAATGGTAAATCCCTCCTTCAATAACTTCATTCTTCCCAATCCCAGTGTCAAACCTTACTATCACAATAGCATTCTTCAGCATAGCTATCTTATTGATGCCATGTTTACCCCAAATTCTCTGGATATATCCATTTAACACAGTGAATGGTGGATGTGCCCCTAATACATAGCATACCACAGCATTCTGCCAGTAGTCAATTTCCGAGCTTATATCCTCTACATCAATTTCCCCAATTCTCTGCTCTCCTACACTTTCTGGATTAACAAATTCTAGTTTGAACCCAGCGTTTGAGATTTTGGAAATATCAAATTTGTCCCAAATTGAAGACAGAGAATCATTTTTCTTACCCAGATTTGCTTCCTGTTGCTCCACTTCATCAGCCCAAGATTGTTTAGGTCCACTTCCTTGCGTTTGAGTGATCTCCATCCATTCGCTCTCCCTCCCCTTTATTGGAGATTGCAGCTTCGTCCTATTCATAGTCCCATCTGTTTCCACCGAAATTGTTTTCCCATTCCCAATCACTGTTTCATTGATTTTTGTTTGAGCTAGTACTCTCTTTACTAGGCTCAGCTATGGTTATTCTCCGATTTTGAATCCTCGTGCTAGCTTCCCTTGCCGGAATTGTCGCCGGGATCGAGTTCTTTGGTCTCCTGCCCATGGCTGGCGCATGCTATGCTAACATGCACCGAGAGAACTTTATTATATATTTATATAGGTTTTTTTTTCCACATAGAAGGTTTAATGTTTTTGGTTTTGAAATATAAAGTGTGTACCTACAATTGAGTTATATATATAGGAGCTTTTAGAGTAGCTTAATCTTTTTAATTGAAATATAAAATGTGCACCTGCAAAGACTTCTTTTTTCGAGATAAAATGTAATGAGAAAGTAAAGGACCAGCCACATCGTATGGATGACAAACATATAGGAGTAGCTATCTTCTATTTTTAACTCCATTTTTAAGTTCATGAATCTTAGTACTTGGTTGTCTTTACCAACGAACTATAATTTGAAATTCATGCACAACCACAGTTTAACTGAATGAGAGAATACAACAGGAAAATTAAAAAAATTACTACTATAAGAAACGTAAAATATCCAGTTAAAGAAAACAATCAAAGGAAGTTTCAATGCTTATCCCTTTAATAACTTGATCGTCTTGATTGCTTACTGAATTACCAGGAACCTAAAATTTCCTTGAACAAGCACTTCAGTCTATTCTGCATAACACAGCAGAAGAAAGTCACATACTCATATTGTAATCACAAATTAATTGACAAGGCAAATCATATTGAATAAATGTGGATTTAAGTTATACACTCATTATAGAGATTATTAATACTTTAATAAATGGTTAAATTATGTTCGTGTAATTTTTTTTTTACACCATCAGATAAATTGACCAACAAGAATAAGTAACTTTTTCAATCAAGTCTGATTTGGTAACACGATAAATAGAGTCAAAATTTACTATAACCAATTAAATTATACTGATAGTGAAGAAAATCTTCACGACAGTATATATAATTTAAATCCTTATTATTATAGGGGATAAGAGCAATACTCACACAAAAATGAGTTGTCTTTGTTTTTGCTCCTCTAAGCTTTCTCCAATTTAACCTTCTTTGACAGCATGATTCTTCTCCATGTGTTCCAATGTGCTCATACCTCCATTCCTTATCTTTTGGGCGGAACAAACGGGAAAATGACAATCTAATCCTTCTTGTCCATCTCCATTTCTGCACAAAGTATTAACTCCTATTGACAAGAGACCGTCATATCTCAAACCTCTCTATAACATACATCTTTTATACCATCATTTTACTATAATGATCAAGTTTATTTTGGAACCAATTTTCATGTTATCTTATATTATATGTTCTCCAAATTAAAACATCATTTCGCTATAGTAGACAAAAAATGTCAGATCAAATGATATTGTTATATACCAATTAGACGAAATAAGCATTTCACTAAATCTTGGTACTATTTTAGTGGAGAAGGGGAAAAAAGACAAGCATTTTATCCATTGAGTTTCAAATCGTGTACCAGCTTATTGCCTCGAAGATGATTTTCTTGGTTATTTAACAAAAAAAAACGGAAAGAAAGAAAAAGAAACAATCATTTCAGTACCATTTAGATGGAATGCTATAAATATATACCTTGTATTTTTGGTTTGATGAATTGTTAGACTTCCACGAGAGTTGTTGATAATTGCCATGTCTTAATTCTTGAGCATAATTCAGGAGTTGTGCTCGACGATCGTAACCTCGCTTTCTTACCGTGCTAGGCCTTGTTAAAAATGGCTTTGGATGATTTCTTTTCGAGGGATTAGATCTATGTTTTGAATCTTTACTTGATAAAGATTCAACATAAACACTGATTATAACTCCTCCTTCCCTTTTCATTATCAAATTTAAGTGACAGCTTATTCTATCAAAATTGGCCTTTGGAATGATAATACAACATTTCACCAGCTAGTCTACATTGTCACATACTATTGTGCTTGCAAAGGTAAGTAGGCTGCTGTTCAGATAAAGAAACTACTTTTGCGAGGTTACAGGTATGTTTTTCGGGGTCTTTGGCCGATGAAAACTGAGAATTAGTTTGGGAACCAATTCCAATTTGGAAAACTTATATATTCCCAAGGGGACAACTTAGTGGCCACAATTTGATCCTTATATATATGACCTCCTAGCAAATGCTGTCCAATTGGATCTTTCTTCACTAATCCGGTGCACAAAGAATTTTGCGTTCACACAGGGTCTGAGGAAGGGCGTACTCCAAGGGGTGTGATGTATGCAGCCTAACATGATAGAAGTGTCAATGGCAAATTCCGGAGTAAACATTTTTCTTTTATTTGTTACGTAAAAGATATCCAACTTTATATTCATTACCCAAAAATCACGTTTCTTTCTTTTATTACACAAAAATTATTTTATTATGCTCTAGTTATCACAATAGTCACGTTGATCAGATTTTACAAGTCTTTCACCTGAAAAGTTTATTATTCCCTTGACATTATAAATCCTCTCATTTATATAATACCTTCTATATTATATGATATATAATATACTTTTACCCAGGTATTTTACTTATAATTAAAATAACTTAATATTATTTTATAATAAGTAGAATTATTAAATTTGTCAGTAATATTACCGTGAACAAATCTCAAGCCCATGTTCTTAACCATGCTTAATGAGATATTTTTAATAGAAATTATAAATTAAAGCTCACTGATTTATCAGCCAAGCCATACCCATTAATCCAATAAATAAAATACTCATATTTAGCATAATGACACATCAAATTAATACTTTTAAATAAATAATATTAACAGATAAAACTTTTAAAAAACTTGATATTAAATACAAATATCTTTGAAAGTTTTTTAAAATTTTTTATTGAATATAAAAAGCTATCATTTGTTAAGCAAATCTGTTTTTATTATTTCAAATAAATATTAAAAATAAATATTTTAAACATTTTTATATTTAAGATATGTTCATGTTTGAATATGATTAAACAAATTGAGTGCCATGAAAAAAATTAAATGTATGGATATATTACAAAAATAAAAAATAAAAAATATAAAATTATTTTAATTATAAGTAAAATACCTAGGTAAAAATATATTATATACTCCCTCCGATCCACAATAAGTGACCATTTTACCTTTTTATTTTGGTCCAAAATAAGTGTCCATTTACATAATCAAGAAGGAATTAATTTTATTTTCCCAAATTTTTTCCTTATTTACATATTCCAATGTGTCAACGTAATAATTAATTATGGTTAATTTAGTGAATATATATATATATATTTTTTCTAGGAGTTCGTATTTCCTTAATGGGTGTACCAAAGATAAAATGGTCATTTATTGTGGACGGAGGGAGTATTATATAATATAAAAGATATTACATAAATAAGAACATTTATAATGTCAAGGGCATAATAGGCTTTTCAAGTAAAAGTATTATAAAATCTGGCAAATGTGACTTTTCTGATAGATAGAGCAAATGAAAATAATTTTTGTGTAACAAAAGAAAGAAAAATGACTTTTGGGTAATGAACACAAAGTTGAGTGATTTTTACGTAACAAAAAGAAGAAAAGTGACTTTTGCGTAATCAACACAAATTTGAATGACCACCCCTGAAATTTACTCGCGAATTCCATAACCCGAACATGTGACGTATAGGTCATGCGGAGACAACTTACATTAATCAAGTATGGAAATAAGAAAACATAATTTATGTTCCATTTCTCACATGCTATTTTATTCTACCGACATATTTTACGCTTTTACTTTGTGTTTCTAAAGAGATTTAAAAAATACCACACCAGTAGATCTAAAAGCGTAATGGTGCTGGTTGTTGTGGTAATATGAAAACTCATTTGCTCCAAAATAGAAAAAAGATAACTAATTCTTATTCCTCTGTAAAAATTCTAAAGACATTCTACTTTTGGAATAAGTCTTTTCAGGGAAGTAAAATAATCGAGAATCTTAAATTGTTAGAAGGGAAAAGAGATTACATAGCAAATAAATTGCTAAAGAAGTCTTGCACTTTACCAAGTTAAGGCGGGGTAAAACAAATTCACTCTGTTTACGCTAAACTAATGAATAGATGACATTTGTCGTTACACTGTTAAATCATAATAGTTAATTAATACATATTCTTACATTAATTTCTAACTTAACTATGATAAATTTAAAAGTACAAGAGGGGGTTAATTGTAGCCGATTTGTAAAACTTAGTTGACTATGTAGGAAATTAGTCGACTAGACTTTACACAGGAATTAATTGCAGTAGAAATAAACTGAGAAAATAGAAAAGTAAAGGAGGCGTAGCAGTTTTTATACTGGTTCAGTACCGGTGTGGTACCTACGTCCAGTTCCCTTGGGTCACAAGGGTTCTCTTAGATCTTCAGTACGCATTTACAACAATGATGGTTTTAGTACGTTCACCACCAACGATATACAACAACAATGTTTATTTCTAATATTGACACAACTCTTGTTTTATTTTCTAACTCTTCCTATCTTTTGCAACACTTGTAGACTCAAGAATATATTTTTTTTGTATTAAAAATTAGAAAGGTGTAGAAACAGATGTGAAGTTGTGTGCCCTTCGATGCCCTTCTACTTCTTCCGTTATAGCTTGATGAGTCTTCTGATTCCTTATCTTCTGGGATCGCATAACATGAATTATTGAAGGCCTTTCCTTGTGAGGCATAGATATCTAAGAGTGAGACCCAATGGTAGCCTCATGAATCTAGCTTGAAAGGGTAACTATATTTATCCTTGATCTTGACGAACTGGTTCCTCCATTTATCCTTGATTAGAGCTTTTGCAGATTGTTCTTGATTTATTCTCTAGCCGTGATTAACTCTCTTTCCTTTCTTGCGAGCTTGAGGATTTTTAGCAAGTCTGATTGATTGACTTTCCTTCTTTGTTCTTTGATTGATTGATTCTCTTTCCATTTGATGCAAAGTGCAAAATACATAGCTGTTAAGTTCCTCTGATTTCCCATATGATCTTCTTTCGTTTCATCAATGTCGTTGCTCTTTGAATTTGCACACAATGAGATGTCATTAGTCAAGGCTTCTTTAGATTATTGAACATTATTAAAATTCTAAACTTAACAATCTCCCCCTTTTTGATCATGACAATAATCTAAAAAGAGTTCGACTAATTTAGGAGATACTTCCCTTTACGAGTGTACTTCTGCTCCCCCTATCTTTGAGCTCTGATGTGCCTTGTTTGTTCTTCCCGTTGTCTTTGCTCTTTTTCTTCTCCCCCTTTGACATCAATCAAAAAGAGCAAGAAAAGAACAATAGCTAATAATAGTACTAGTTAAGCAGGCAAAAAATATATACAGCTAGCAGTTATACCGGGTATAGTCGACTTACATGCCTATCCAGACACAACCAAAGGAAAAAGTTTTAACATCCAACACACAAAGCAAAATAAAAGATTGTCTAAACAGCCCAGACACTTAATTCCTTCTAAGGAAATACTTCAAGGTGTTGATCACTTTGGTGCAGAAACTGTCATACGAGGCATCAATATTCTTGGTGACTTTGGTAAGCTTCTTAGTTACATCCCGTATAGCCTTGATTCCTTTCCTCTTTGTGGCTTGGAGAGTGATCCTTAGCCTAGCCACATCTGCTCCAAATTCCTTGGTTACTTCCCTGATCTTGTCCACCTGTTCCTTCATAGAGGTTAGCAATTCCTTGATACCTACAATATTTTGCTGCATTAGCAGCAACTGATCTGAGGAAGAGGATTTGTTGACTTCAGATTTAATCCCTCCAGTGCCTTGTTGAGGGATGGATTCAGGTGCCTAGTCTTTCTTAAGACAAGTTCCCTCAATCAAGGTATATCCCATCATGGCAAAGGTAGTCTTGTCATATGTGCTAGAGATGGTTTTAGGGGTATAGAGAGACAAATCCACTTTCATAACTTGCAAGATGTGAGAGATTAGTAAACCATAGGACAAACTGTTCGCAGAAGATGAAACATCCCTGATGCTTTCAAGAATGTACTGACGTACCCAAGCAAACCAATTAATAGTCTTCCCGTTTACTAGACAGTACAAGACAAACACATCTCAGAGAGACAGGGTGCTAAGAGAACCAGTACGGGGTAGCAAAGTGGTAGCAATTATGTGAGCTAGTACACGGTGTTCAAATTTCAAATTTTTTGGACCAATGTCAGGGGGTTTTTCAGACAACACACTTTTTGCTTCCTCAAACGACACTTCAAAATTATCAGGCTAAGAATGTTTCACAAATAAACTATACCCAACAAACTTTGTTGCAAAGATTTTCTCAAAATGATAAGCGTCAAGAATAATACGAGTTCCTAAAATCATGGATTCTAGATCATCTTTATCATTCACAAACAGATTTGCATAAAACATACGCATAGGCTTTTCATAGACAATGTCACCAACAATAGCAAATAGAGAGACAAGTTTTTGAGTTTCAAATACAGAGATAACATCATAGTGAGAGTTTTTTTATAGATTTCAAACTTACAGTGTGACCATAAGCAATCGACTTCCCTTTGAAAGCGACAAACCTAGCTTTCTCTTCGGGGCCACAGAAATTCATCTTGTCTTCACGGCCAAACTCTATGCTTTCTGTTTTCCCTCTTTTTTGAGACGATTATTTGGGGATGGACTCCATTGGACGCTTTCCAGCCCTCTTTTGGGAGATAAGAATATCTTCTTGAGAATCACTGGAATCATCCTCGAACAATGGATGATCTATGCTTTTTGAGGATTCTACATCTACAGGATCATCGGTTTGATGATTTTTCTTGAAGCAATGGCTTCTTTTGGGCATTGAGGAGGAAGGAGAGGGTTTGATTTTGGGCATGAGTTAAAGAGAGCAGAGAGAGAGAATGATTTTCTTTGAGAGAATAGGAGATATTATCGAGGGGGGAAGAGTTAAAAAGAGTTTGAATGGATGCCTCGATTCTTGGAGAGATGTGTGACGGGCAACTGAAAAGTTGCCTTCTGCAAGCCCGCAGTCAGTCC